TGCATATTCTTAGGCCCCAAGTGCATAACCTTACGTTTATCAACATTAAACCTCATTTGCCATATTGTTGCCCAATTAAACAGTGTATTGAAGTTGTCTTGTAAGTTGAAGACATCCTGTAAGCATGTTATTCCACTGCAAAGCTTGGTATCATCTGCAAAGACTGAAATGGTATTTTTAATCCCAGACCCTATATCGTTTATAAATACAGGTGAAATTCGAAAAATTAGAATATCGTGCAAAAGTTAATTTATTTCAGTAATGCAACCTAAAAGGTGAAACTAATATATGAGATAGACTCATTACATGCAAAGCAAGATAGTTCAAACCGTGATTTGTAATAATTGTGATGATTATGGCTTACAGCTCATGAAAACCCCAAATCCACAATCTCAGAAAATTAGAATATTGTGAAAAGATGCAATATTCTAGGCTCAAAGTGTCCCACTCTAATCAGCTAATTAAGCCATAACACCTGCAAAGGGTTCCTGAGCCTTTAAATGGTCTCTCAGTCTGGTTCAGTAGGAATCACAATCATGGGAAAGACTGCTGATCTGACAGTTGTGCAGAAAACCATCATTGACACCCGCCATAAGGAGGGAAAGCCTCACAAGGTAATTGCAAAAGAAGTTGGATGTTCCCAAAGTGCTGTATCAATGCACATTAATAGAAAGTTATGTAGAAGGGAAAAGTGTGGAAGAAAAAGGTGCACAAGCAGGGAGGGATGACTGCAGCCTGGAGAGGATTGACAGGAAAAGGCCATTCAAAAGTGTTGGGGACTTTCACAAGGAGTGGACTGAGGCTGGAGTCAGTGCATCAAGAGCCAACACACACAGATGGATCCTGGACATGGGCTTCAAATGTCGTATTCCTCTTGTCAAGCTGCTCCTGAACTGCAAACAACGTCAGAAGCGTCTTACCTAGGCTAAAGAAAAACAGACCTGGTCTGTTGCTCAGTGGTCCAGAGTCCTCTTTTCTGATGAAAGCAACTTTTGAATCTCATTTGGAAACCAAGGACCAAATGAGAGTATGGAGGAAGAATGGAGAGGCACACACTGCAAGATGCTTGAAGTCCAGTGTGAAGTTTCCGCAGTCTGTGTTGATTTGGGGAGCCATGTCATCTGCTGGTGTTGGTCCACTGTGCTTCATTAAGCCCAGGGTCAACGCAGCCGTATACCAGGAGATTTTGGAGCACTTCATGCTTCCTTCCACAGATACGCTTTATGGGGATGCTGAATTCATTCTGTCTCTCAGCTCAAGCTTAGGGGCGCACAGCCTACCTGTGAGTTCCAGAGGATCTCCCCAGCTTCTGTTCCGCACTGGACATTCCTCTAGTTGAGCTTCCAGATTGGTACAGATCTTTGCGTCTTCCAAATGCTACTGAATCTGGTCGAGTACCAAGTGACATGGATTGGCAAGGCCCCTATCTCCGCCGCTGCCGATCAGTCCCTTCCACTCCTCCGAGACTTCCTGCCAGAGGCTCCACCACCAACAACAGCCCGACGGCCTCTCCTGCACATTGCAGACCCCGCCATGATGCCTAAAGGCCTTTCTTCGATCTTTTCCCTGACTTTCTCTCATCAGCAATACTTATCCAAATTATGATCTTACCAGATCCCTCTCATCTGACTCCAGGACCATGCCGTTAGCACCTTGGGCCCTATTTGGCCCCTTAACTGGACACCTTCAACCTGATGTTGCCAAATACGCCTCATCGATCATGAATGTACCTGATGTACCTCCGCAGGCACCCTCCATGTCACTGGCCTTTTTATTGCTGCATTTTCACTACCTCTGATGGAAGCCTGGGGGATGGTCCTACAATCTTTCTCTAGCCCTGTTTGTAATGTATATGCTGATTTGTCCGCTGCATAGAGTCTCTGGAGAGTATGGATCACCAGACCCTCTATGCCCGGCCCCTGTTTGGTTGTATGGCCTCCCAGGGGTCTTTTGATGATCTTGCAGTGGTCAGAGGTGAATTCCATGCCCTCCATTACATATTGTCTGTATTTCCCTGACCATGATCCCTTCTGTTCTTCATTAGAGTTTACTGTGAGAGGTTTCATACTCCAGCTCGCCTTTATACGTTTTCCAGGGGTGGTGTGGGATGGTGGGGGGAGACTGGGTTGGGGGGGGGATCCAGGACCCAACCTGTCATTTCCATACTATTATTATGTTACATATCTGTTTGAAATCAAGTATTACCTCCGTTACACTCTCCAGGTGTTGTTCCCTGCGGGGTCCGGCACCCTCCTTCACCTCATGTCATAACACCCATCTAAACCACATTTACTGCTTACAGGTTTTGAAACCATCATTCGAAGTTTCTGCTGAGCTCCCCCCCCGGGTCCCATCCTCTTCCCCCTCCCCTTGCCTAGCTACCGCTATTTTTTCTTTTTAGATACGAGGCACTACTTGATTCTTAGAATGTCGTGGAGTCCTGCGGGAACGGGGTGGGAGATGGATGGTTTGAGTTTTTGAGAGGGAGTCGGGAAGAGAAGAGTTAGGACAGATGAGAGATACCTTAGGGTTCCAAAAAGAAATGGTGCACTATGTCTCATTTTTCCCAAATGTTTCATTTGATGGTTGCTTTTTTTTTTGAATGGTTGCCTGGCTGTTTCTGTGATGTTGCATTGTTTTTGCCATAAACAGATTATGATACGATTTCCTTTTCATCTTAATGATATGCAGGTTTTCCATCTGGCTTTCACTGATGTTTTATTTTCAGCATGGACTCACACACTGGCCCTACCACGGCACACCTACAATACCACAACTCTGCCCATAACTTTAGGATCATGCTATGACTGCATTCCACTTAGATGTGCATTTTCTCATTTCACTACATACAATGCTTCCACCACTATATGCCCTAATGATATATATTCAGTTTCCTTGCCCTCATGACATTTATTACATTTTCCTTCTGATATCCCTAAGCTTGTTGCTGCGTCTTACCTCACACATTATGTCGGATGATGGCGGTTGTGCCCCCATCTATATCTTCATTCAAACGAATTGTGCTCACCCTTCCTCCCCGATTCTTGCATTTTTTAAGGTCCATGGCCCGGCGGACTCTTTCTTTTTGGATCTAAGTCCACCGCGTTTCCCACACAGCGATCTTTGAGAGCTCTCCCTGAACTTTTTCCGTCCGTCTTTACTCCCTTGTCCTCTGCCTCTCATCTCCTTTCATTCCTTGTTCCTCTTTCTGCTATTTCCCTCCTACCCCTTCTTCTTTCTTGTTCTTCTTTCCTCCTTCCTGTATATTGGTGGGTCAGCTGGTCTACCCCCACTGCCGGTTATCTCTCTCTCTCTCTCTCTCTCTCTCTCTCTTTTCTCCCCTCATTTCCCTCTTCCTTTTCATTTCATTTCCTTTCTTTTCCTTCCCCTCTCCCCCCCTTCCCTTCCCTTCCCTTTTTTTTTTCTTTCCTCTCTTCTCTCTCTTCCCCATACCCCCTTTCCCATCCCTTTAGGTTCCCTTTACTCTCCCGGACATGCCTTCTCTCAACTCCCGGTCAGGACATCTTTCGCTGAAAGTTCTGTCTATTAATGTGAAGGGTCTGAATACCCCTGAAAAGCGCTCTCTCCTGCTTTCGCACCTTTTTAAACAGAGAGCGGATATTGTTTTTCTTCAGGAAACGCACTTCCGGCGCGATGCCATACCCAAGCTTACTAATTTCCATTTTCGCACAGTTTATCATGCTCCTAACTAGAGATGAGCGAAGTATTCAAAAATTCGATTCGACTGATTCGGCGAATTCGTGGAAAAATTTCGATTCGAGTCGAATATATTCGCTGTGAATTTAACTTAAAAAAGGGTGTTTCTAGGCTTCAGAGAGACTTAATATTAGTGCAGAACACTGTACCTTTAATTTAAATGCCCTTGGAGTCTGCTGGGGAAGAGAAATAATACTGTCAGTCAGTATGACATGCAGATGAGTGCCGTCGATCTTAGAATCACCGCACACTTCACTCATTTGGGCAGTCACGGGGCCAAAACCAGAGTGTGGAGCCACAGTGTGGCGGTGGAGGCAGCAGCAATGGGAGGCCATACAGCACCCTATGACAAAAATGGAAACCACCAGCAGTGTGAGGAGACCTGAAAGTGGCACATGGCAGAGTGTGGCGATAGAGACAGCAGCAATGGGAGGCCGTACAGGGACCCATGACACACTCTGGACCTGGCAGCAGCATGAGGAGGCGGTACAGGGGCCCATGACAGATTACGGGCCTGGCAGCAGCATGAGGAGTCGGTACGGGGGCCCATGGCAGATTACGGGCCTGGCAGCAGCAATGGGAGGCCCGTACAGGGACCCATGACACACTCTGGACCTGGCAGCAGCATGGGGAGGCGGTACAGGGGCCCATGACAGATTACGGGCCTGGCAGCAGCATGAGGAGTCGGTACGGGGGCCCATGACACACTCTGGACCTGGCAGCAGCATGAGGAGGCGGAACAGGGGCGCATGACAGATTACGAGCCTGGCAGCAGCAACTTGGACAGGAGGACGTTCAGCTTCTGCACCGTCGGGTGCGTGCTCGCAAACTGTTGTCTCTTGGAAACGGATTCCAAGAAAGACTGCTGACAGAATCCGTGAAGAGGAGTAGCAGGAGAAAAAGCATCTGAAGGAGCGGAATATGCCAACAAGCGACAACAGGGGCCCATGACAGATTACGGGCCTGGCAGCAGCATGAGGAGTCGGTACGGGGGCCCATGGCAGATTAGGGGCCTGGCAGATTAGGGGCCTGGCAGCAGCTATGGGAGGCCCGTAATCTGCCAGCACCCTATGACAAAAAATGGAACCCACCAGCAGTGTGAGGAGACCTGAAAGTGGCACATGGCAGAGTGTGGCGATGGAGACAGCAGCAATGGGAGGCCGTACAGGGACCCATGAGAGACTCTGGACCTGGCAGCAGCATGAGGAGGCGGTATAGGGGCCCATGGCAGATTAGGGGCCTGGCAGCAGCTATGGGAGGCCCGTAATCTGCCAGCACCCTATGACAAAAAATGGAACACACCAGCAGTGTGAGGAGACCTGAAAGTGGCACATGGCAGAGTGTGGGCGATGGAGACAGCAGCAATGGGAGGCCGTACAGGGACCCATGAGAGACTCTGGACTTGGCAGCAGCATGAGGAGGCGGTATAGGGGCCCATGGCAGATTAGGGGCCTGGCAGCAGCTATGGGAGGCCCGTAATCTGCCAGCACCCTATGACAAAAAATGGAACACACCAGCAGTGTGAGGAGACCTGAAAGTGGCACATGTTTGGGGCATGATTCATGGCGGATTTAGTCAGTGTGTGTCAGGAACTGGTGGTTTAAAATCCAGACTAATCCACGCCTGATTCATTTTCACAAACGTCAGTCTCTCCACACTTTGGGTGGACAGTCGTGTCCTCCGCGGAGTTGCAATACCTCCTGCCGCACTAAACACGCGCTCCGATGCCACGCTACTGGCCGGGCATGACAGCCTTTCAAGGGCAAATTCAGCTAGTTGGGGCCAAAGGTCAAGTTTCGTTGCCCAGTAGTCAAGGGGATTGTCTACCTCGGTTGGCAGGGTGCTGTCCAAGTAGGCCCTAAGCCTGTTGTTTGAGGTCCTGCTCCAGGTCCACCTGATGCTGCTGCTGCTGCTGCTGCTGCTGCTGCTGCGGCTGGTTAGTAGTTTCCTCACTGCGCTGGTGAAGAAAGCTACTCATCATCGACTGCAGACTGAGGCAGCTGCTGCTGGTGGAGCTGCCACTGCTCCTACCACCCCACCCCTCCCCTGCTGCCATGGCAGCGGAACGCGAGCGCACAGGGCCCACAGTGTCTGAGGATGGACGTTGGCGCAGACAGGCAGAGACCAGCTGACTACATAGGTGGTTTTTTATAGTACGTTATTTTGGCCTCCCTCTCAGCAGGTGTGAAAAAGGCCACCATTTTTGAACGGTATAGCGAGGTCCAACAAGGTGGACAGCCAAAAGTCATCCCTCTGTCTGATGGTTATTATTCGGCTGTCGGTACGCAAGCAAGCGAGCATGCTATGGGCCATTTGTGCCAAGGAATGCGAGGGACTCCCTGCCTCCATCTCCACAGCATACTGCCACGGTGCGTCTGGGTCCTCTGTCTCCTCTTCCTCCTCCTCTACCAGATGCTCCTGCTCCTCCACTCCTGTCCGCTGAGTGGAAAAACCACCCATTTCACTCAATAATTCCTGAGCACCAATGTCCTCCTCTACCTCCTCCTCTTCTTCCTGTCCTGCCCCCACAGGGGTCATGTGGCGTTGAGATCTGTGCGCCACGTCTACCGCACCCTGACCAGCCATTGTTAACAGCATTTGTTCCAGGACGTGCAACAGAGGAATGACGTCGTTCATCCCATAGTCCTGCCGACTCACGAATAGCGTGGCCTCCTCAAAGGGCCTGAGCAAGCGCAGGTGTCACGCATGAGCTGCCAATGGCTGACATCTAAGTTACACAGGGAGTACCTTTATCCGCTTTTAACATCAGGAAATCGGTGATGGCCTTTTGCTGTTCGTAAAGGCGGGCGGTCTAACATATGTAGGGTTGAATTCCACCTTGTTGCAACGTCACAGCATGAGGAGTCGGTACGGGGGCCCATGGCAGATTACGGGCCTGGCAGAAGCAATGGGAGGCCCGTAATCTGCCAGCACCCTATGTCAAAAAAATTCAACACACCACCAGTGTGTGAGGGAGACCTGAAAGTGGCACATGGCAGAGTGTGGCGATGGAGACAGCAGCAATGGGAGGCCGTACAGGGACCCATGACAGACTCTGGACTTGGCAGCAGCATGAGGAGGCGGTATAGGGGCCCATGGCAGATTAGGGGCCTGGCAGCAGCTATGGGAGGCCCGTAATCTGCCAGCACCCTATGTCAAAAAATTGAACACACCAGCAGTGTGTGAGGAGACCTGAAAGTGGCACATGGCAGAGTGTGGCGATGGAGACAGCAGCAATGGGAGGCCGTACAGGGACCCATGACAGACTCTGGACTTGGCAGCAGCATGAGGAGGCGGTATATAGGGGCCTATGGCAGATTAGGGGCCTGGCAGCAGCTATATGGAGGCCCGTAATCTGCCAGCACCCTATGTCAAAAAATTTGAACACACCAGCAGTGTGTGAGGAGACCTGAAAGTGGCACATGGCAGAGTGTGGCGATGGAGACAGCAGCAATGGGAGACCGTACAGGGACCCATGACAGACTCTGGACTTGGCAGCAGCATGAGGAGGCGGTATATAGGGCCTATGGCAGATTAGGGGCCTGGCAGCAGCTATGGGAGGCCCGTAATCTGCCAGCACCCTATGTCAAAAAATTGAACACACCAGCAGTGTGTGAGGAGACCTGAAAGTGGCACATGGCAGAGTGTGGCGATGGAGACAGCAGCAATGGGAGGCCGTACAGGGACCCATGACAGACTCTGGACTTGGCAGCAGCATGAGGAGGCGGTATATAGGGGCCTATGGCAGATTAGGGGCCTGGCAGCAGCTATGGGAGGCCCGTAATCTGCCAGCACCCTATGTCAAAAAATTGAACACACCAGCAGTGTGTGAGGAGACCTGAAAGTGGCACATGGCAGAGTGTGGCGATGGAGACAGCAGCAATGGGAGGCCGTACAGGGACCCATGACAGACTCTGGACTGGCAGCAGCATGAGGAGGCGGTATATAGGGGCCTATGGCAGATTAGGGGCCTGGCAGCAGCTATGGGAGGCCCGTAATCTGCCAGCACCCTATGTCAAAAAATTGAACACACCAGCAGTGTGTGAGGAGACCTGAAAGTGGCACATGGCAGAGTGTGGCGATGGAGACAGCAGCAATGGGAGGCCGTACAGGGACCCATGACAGACTCTGGACCTGGCAGCAGCATGAGGAGGCGGTATATAGGGGCCTATGGCAGATTAGGGGCCTGGCACACAGCTATAGGAGGCCCATAATCTGCCAGCACCCTATGTCAAAAAATTCAACACACAGCAGTGTGTGAGGAGACCTGAAAGTGGCACATGGCAGAGTGTGGCGATGGAGACAGCAGCAATGGGAGGCCGTACAGGGACCCATGACAGACTCTGGACTGGCAGCAGCATGAGGAGGCGGTATATAGGGGCCTATGGCAGATTAGGGGCCTGGCAGCAGCTATAGGGGGCCCGTAATCTGCCAGCACCCTATGACAAAAAATGGAACACACCAGCAGTGTGTGAGGAGACCTGAAAGTGGCACATGGCAGAGTGTGGCGATGGAGACAGCAGCAATGGGAGGCCGTACAGGGACCCATGACAGACTCTGGACCTGGCAGCAGCATGAAGGAGGCGGTATATAGGGGCCTATGGCAGATTAGGGGCCTGGCAGCAGCTATGGGAGGCCCGTAATCTGCCAGCACCCTATGACAAAAAATTCAACCCACCAGCAGTGTGAGGAGGAGACCTGAAAGTGGCACATGGCAGAGTGTGGCGATGGAGACAGCAGCAATGGGAGGCCGTACAGGGACCCATGACAGACTCTGGACTTGGCAGCAGCATGATGAGGCGGTATATAGGGGCCTATGGCAGATTAGGGGCCTGGCAGCAGCTATGGGAGGCCCGTAATCTGCCAGCACCCTATGTCAAAAAACTGAACACACCAGCAGTGTGTGAGGAGACCTAAAAGTGGCACATGGCAGAGTGTGGCGATGGAGACAGCAGCAATGGGAGGCCGTACAGGGACCCATGACAGACTCTGGACCTGGCAGCAGCATGAGGAGGCGGTATATAGGGGCCTATGGCAGATTAGGGGCCTGGCAGCAGCTATGGGAGGCCCGTAATCTGCCAGCACCCTATGTCAAAAAATTGAACACACCAGCAGTGTGTGAGGAGACCTGAAAGTGGCACATGGCAGAGTGTGGCGATGGAGACAGCAGCAATGGGAGGCCGTACAGGGACCCATGACAGACTCTGGACCTGGCAGCAGCATGAGGAGGCGGTATATAGGGGCCTATGGCAGATTAGGGGCCTGGCAGCAGCTATGGGAGGCCCGTAATCTGCCAGCACCCTATGTCAAAAAATTGAACACACCAGCAGTGTGTGAGGAGACCTGAAAGTGGCACATGGCAGAGTGTGGCGATGGAGACAGCAGCAATGGGAGGCCGTACAGGGACCCATGAGAGGCTCTGGACTTGCAGCAGCATGAGGAGGCGGTATATATAGGGGCCCATGGCAGATTAGGGGCCTGGCAGCAGCTATGGGAGGCCCGTAATCTGCCAGCACCCTATGTCAAAAAATTCAACACACCAGCAGTGTGTGAGGAGACCTGAAAGTGGCACATGGCAGAGTGTGGCGATGGAGACAACCCACCGACTGTTTTGCTCGCTGCCAAGCTGCCACCCTCTTCTCCTGATGATGCGGAAGCAATAGCCTGATGACGACGAGGCTGCCAAGTGCGATCAGCCTCATCATCATCAATTAGGGTCTCCGCCTCACTACTAGCCCCCTCGGCTGCGTGTGGGTCAGGAGACAGACCTGTCTCTACACCGGCTACCGAGCCACTCTCCTCGCCACTACTTTCTTTGCCTGGCTGCTGAAGAGGCGGATGTGTCTCCCCCCGTTCCTGACCGCCCTCTGTTAGCTCTTCCTCACTGTACTGGATGACACCGGGAGCACTAGCCTCTGGCTGCGAATAGTGCTGCCTCGACCCCTTCCTCTGCTGCCACGTCTGCTCGCTCCTAAAACATTGCCTCCTCTGCCACTCCTCTGCATGTTGTCTGACATACTCTTTAATTAAACGATTCTGTGTCCCTGAGTAACAATTCTGTGTCCCTGAGTAACGTTTCTGTGGCCCTAAGTAACAGTTCTGTGGCCCTAAGTAACAGTTCTGTGGCCCTCAGTAACAATTCTGTGTCTGTCCCTGAGTAACAATTCTGTGTCCCTCAGTAACAATTCTGTGTCCCTCAGTAACAATTCTGTGTCCCTGAGTAACAATTCTGTGGCCCTCAGTAACAATTCTGTGTCCCTGAGTAACAATTCTGTGTCTGTCCCTGAGTAAGAATTCTGTGTCTGTCCCTGAGTAACGTTTCTGTGTGGTCCCTAAGTAAAGTTCTGTGGCCCTAAGTAACAATTCTGTGGCCCTGAGTAACAATTCTGTGTCCCTGAGTAACAATTCTGTGTCTGTCCCTGAGTAACAATTCTGTGGCCCTAAGTAACGGTTCTGTGGCCCTCAGTAACAATTCTGTGTCCCTGAGTAACAATTCTGTGTCCCTCAGTAACAATTCTGTGTCCCTCAGTAACAATTCTATGTCCCTCAGTAACAATTTTGTGTCTGTCCCTGAGTAACAATTCTGTGTCTGTCCCTGAGTAACGTTTCTGTGGCCCTAAGTAACGGTTCTGTGGCCCTCAGTAACAATTCTGTGTCCCTCAGTAACAATTCTGTGTCTGTCCCTGAGTAACAATTCTGTGTCTGTCCCTGAGTAACAATTCTGTGTCCCTGAGTAACGTTTCTGTGGCCCTAAGTAACAATTCTGTGGCCCTCAGTAACAATTCTGTGTCTGTCCCCTGAGTAACAATTCTGTGTCTGTCCCTGAGTAACAATTCTGTGTCCCTGAGTAACGTTTCTGTGGCCCTAAGTAACAATTCTGTGGCCCTCAGTAACAATTCTGTGTCTGTCCCTGAGTAACAATTCTGTGTCTGTCCCTGAGTAACAATTCTGTGGCCCTAAGTAACGGTTCTGTGGCCCTCAGTAACAATTCTGTGTCCCTCAGTAACAATTCTGTGGCCCTCAGTAACAATTCTGTGTCTTTCCCTGAGTAACAATTCTGTGGCCCTAAGTAACGGTTCTGTGGCCCTCAGTAACAATTCTGTGTCCCTGAGTAACAATTCTGTGTGGCCCTAAGTAACGGTTCTGTGGCCCTCAGTAACAATTCTGTGTCCCTGAGTAACAATTATGTGGCCCTAAGTAACAGTTCTGTGTCCCTCAGTAACAATTCTGTGTCCCTCAGTAACAATTCTGTGTCTGTCCCTGAGTAACAATTCTGTGGCCCTAACTAACGTTTCTGTGGCCCTAAGTAACAGTTCTGTGGCCCTCAGTAACAATTCTGTGTCCCTGAATAACGTTTATGTGGACCTAAGTAACGGTTCTGTGGCCCTCAGTAACAATTCTGTGTCCCTGATTAACGTTTCTGTGGCCCTAAGTAACGGTTCTGTGGCCCTCAGTAAGAATTCTTTGTCCCTCAGTAACAATTCTGTGTCTGTCCCTGAGTAACAATTCTGTGGCCCTAAGTAACGGTTCTGTGGCCCTCAGTAACAATTCTGTGTCCCTGAGTAACGTTTCTGTGGCCCTAAGTAACGGTTCTGTGGCCCTCAGTAACAATTCTGTGTCCCTGAGTAACAATTCTGTGTCTGTCCCTGAGTAACAATTCTGTGGCCCTAAGTAACGGTTCTGTGGCCCTCAGTAACAATTCTGTGTCCCTGAGTAACGTTTCTGTGGCCCTAAGTAACAATTCTGTGGCCCTCAGTAACAATTCTGTGTCTGTCCCTGAGTAACAATTCGGTGTCCCTAACTAACGTTTCTGTGGCCCTAAGTAACAGTTCTGTGGCCCTCAGTAACAATTCTGTGTCCCTGAGTAACGTTTCTGTGGCCCTAAGTAACAATTCTGTGTCCCTGAGTAACAATTCTGTGGCCCTAAGTAACGGTTCTGTGGCCCTCAGTAACAATTCTGTGTCCCTGAGTAACAATTCTGTGGCCCTAAGTAACGGTTCTGTGGCCCTCAGTAACAATTCTGTGGCCCTCAGTAACAATTCTGTGTCTGTCCGATAACAATTCTGTGGCCCTAACTAACGTTTCTGTGGCCCTAAGTAACAGTTCTGTGGCCCTCAGTAACAATTCTGTGTCCCTGAGTAACGTTTCTGTGGCCCTAAGTAACAATTCTGTGGCCCTCAGTAACAATTCTGTGTCTGTCCCTGAGTAACAATTCTGTGGCCCTAACTAACGTTTCTGTGGCCCTAAGTAACAATTCTGTGTCCCCTGAGTAACAATTCTGTGGCCCTAAGTAATGGTTCTGTGGCCCTCAGTAACAATTCTGTGTCCCTCAGTAACAATTCTGTGGCCCTAAGTAACGGTTCTGTGGCCCTCAGTAACAATTCTGTGGCCCTCAGTAACAATTCTGTGTCTGTCCGAGTAACAATTCTGTGGCCCTAACCAACGTTTCTGTGGCCCTAAGTAACAGTTCTGTGGCCCTCAGTAACAATTCTGTGTCCCTGAGTAACGTTTCTGTGGTCCTAAGTAACAATTCTGTGGCCCTCAGTAACAATTCTGTGTCTGTCCCTGAGTAACAATTCTGTGGCCCTAACTAACGTTTCTGTGGCCCTAAGTAACAATTCTGTGTCCCTGAGTAACAATTCTGTGGCCCTAAGTAATGGTTCTGTGGCCCTCAGTAACAATTCTGTGTCCCTCAGTAACAATTCTGTGGCCCTAAGTAACGGTTCTGTGGCCCTCAGTAACAATTCTGTGGCCCTCAGTAACAATTCTGTGTCTGTCCGAGTAACAATTCTGTGGCCCTAACTAACATTTCTGTGGCCCTAAGTAACAGTTCTGTGGCCCTCAGTAACAATTCTGTGTCCCTGAGTAACGTTTCTGTGGCCCTAAGTAACAATTCTGTGGCCCTCAGTAACAATTCTGTGTCTGTCCCTGAGTAACAATTCTGTGGCCCTAACTAACGTTTCTGTGGCCCTAAGTGACAATTCTCTGGCACTCAGTAACAATTCTGTCTGTCCCTGAGTACAAATTCTGTGGCCCTAACTAACGTTTCTGTGGCCCTAAGTAACAGTTCTGTGGCCCTCAGTAACAATTCTGTGTCTGTCCCTGAGTAACAATTCTGTGGCCCTAACTAACGTTTCTGTGGCCCTAAG